AAAAAAAAAAAAAAAAAAATCTGAGACAAGTGTTGATCACGTGGTACGTCAGCTGTTGGCCTCTGTCCGTGTGCCCTCAACACATGCACTCAAGTCCCTGCCCCCCTTCGGGGCATTCGAACCACAGCTGCCATCGGAGCCCCCACCGAACGGAGCAGGCCTCGTCCCTTCCGTGTTCTCTGCCCTGGGGACCCGGGCGGCCCGCACCCTCCCCTCCTCCCCAGCCGGCGCCCTCCTCCCCGGCCCATGGGGACGCTCGTGGCAAAGCTGCTCCTCCCCACCCTCAGCAGCCTGGCTTTCCTCCCCACGGTCAGCATTGCTGCCAAGCGCCGCTTCCACATGGAGGCCATGGTCTACCTGTTCACCATGTTCTTCGTGGCGGTAAGTCCGGGCCCCGCGGGAGGACCCACGCGGGGCACCCTCCCCACGGCGGAGGAGAGGGGCCATCTTTCCACCACGTGCCTGTATCGGTGATGAGGAGAAGTGATTTGGAGGTGAAAGAAAGAGCCCGAAGGCCAGGAGAAAGGGGTGGGGGCCCCCCTCCTCCTCTCTGGACCTCAGGTTCCCCGTCTGTGCCGGGAAGTCACTCTGGGGTCGGTGTGCGTAAAACGGGCGAGATTCGGTGGGTCCAGGCCGAGCCCCTCCGGGGTGCAGGCCACCCCAGGCCCCCGCCCTTGTCCCACCTACGAGCGCGGGGCAGCTGAGCCGGGGCGGAGGGGCCGCACCGGGCCCCGGGAGGGGGGTAGTGGGGTTTAGGGAACGTGTAGGGCCTGGGTGAGTCTGATTCCAGGATTCTGGAATCCTGTAGCTGGCCCCTGTTCAGGAGGGCCTGCTCACGTCTGCTTGTCTCTCCTTCTTGGGGCCTACGTCTGTCTCTCTCTGAGTCCTTCTTTCTCCATTTATAAGCCTGGACGGCTGCCTTTGAGCACTGTCTCTCCCCCCCTCCCCTCCCCATGGGGCTCCTTCCCTCTGCCTTTGTCTTGTTGCTTTTCTCCACATCTGCCTTTTTTTCTTTCACTCTGTCTGCGTCTGGGTCTCTCTTGATTTCTGGAGCTCTGTCTCCATAGAACTTGCCCTCTTCCCAAACCTCCTTGTCTCTCCCTGTCTGGCTTTGCCCCCCCTGCCCCTCCACGTGTCTCTTTGGCTCGATCTGTCCCTCTAGTTTCTGTCTGTCTGTCTGCCTATACTCCTGCCCACGTACATCCCTATCTAATCAATCATTGCCCCCTACCTACCCAGTCGATGATCCTTCCATCCACCTGCCCGCCCCCGTCTGTGTCTCATCTCCCTGCTGCCATGTCCCTCTGAGCCCCCCACGATCACGGCTGGCCCCCCTCCCTGGCTCTGACAGTCCTCCTCATCGGCTCCCCTCAGACTGACCCTTCACTGAAGCCCAGCTCCCCGCGAGAAGCACGCACCGCGGGGGCGAGCGTCCCCCCGGACGTGACAAATCGCACGATGCCTTTTGCCGCCGGCCTGGCTCCCCAGCAGCGGGGCCTCGGGGTCCCGGGGGCAGCCGTGGGCAGTAGGTGTGTGAGCACACGCCTGTGTCCGCAGACGTGCCTGCACCTGTGTGTGCACTTGGGCAGGCGCCCCCTTAGGCAGCAGGGACCTGGGGCCAGGGGCTGCCTGGGGCTCGTCTCCACCCCTGGGTGGGAGAGACCCCCGCCGGGAGCCAGCATCCAGGCTGGGGGGGCGTGCCGGGGGCTCTGCACACAGTGTCTTCTGTGGTCTTCTCGGCTCCCCGTGAGCCTGGGATTGTGACGGGCCCATTTGACGGATGGAGAAACCGAGTCCGACAGAGGCGGAGTCCCGTGTCACTGTGAGCACCAGATGTACCTTGGAGCTCCTGGCTCAGTCAAGGCATTTTGTCCGATGCCATTTCATTGGCCCCACAAGGGACCCCTGCTTGGGAGGGCTCCAGGAAGTCGGTTTGGCAGGTGGGAAGCCCAGGCACGGGGCGGACGCGGGACTTCTCTGCGGGTACAGGGGGCTTAGGGCCAGGGAGGGGAGCCAGGGGTCTTGTCCCCAGGCCCAGGTCAGACCCCACCCAGGAACCCACAGACACGGCCAGGCCACCCCTCCCTGCTGGGGCTGGGCTGGCCCCCAGCTGCCTCCGGGCTGACCTCAGCGGCCCGCCCTGGCCCGCCCAGAATGGCAGAGGCAGCTGCCTCCTGTGACAAATGTCCTCCAACCTCAAAGCCACACTCAACCCCTCTCTCCCAGAGCCCCAGGCAACACCACTGCAGCCCCTGCCTCCCATGTGGCTTCTTCTGCGTTCCACCCAGGACCCTCCTGGGCCAGTTGTCACAGGGGGTCGCCTGGCCCACCCCACGGACCGACAGAGGGGGCCCCAAGCAGGCAGTCAGTGGCCGGGCTCACAAAACAAGGATCCGTGAGGTCGGCCTCTGGAGGCTGTGCGGTCTCCCACCAGGTCCCCAGCTGTACCCCACCCCCACCAGCACCCTCCGGGCCCCCAATCTGCCCCTGCATTGGAAGACAGAGGCAGGTCTCACAGGCGCCTATCCCCGCTCTGCCCTGCCTCCTTGGCAGGTAGCACTGCTCGGAATCTCACCGTCCCCACCTGCCCAACAGAAATGAACCAAGGGCCTGGCGGGAGAGCCCCCCCCGCCGCCCCATCTCGGGTCAGCTCTCCTTCAAACCGCTCTAAACCCTGCCTCCCTGACCCTGCATTCACACAGCCGGGATGAGACAGTATTCCTGCTCTTGATGGGGGCAGGGCACAGACACTCCAAGAATCTCTTAGCAATTAAGTCCATAGTTCTACACGGTGATCTGTGCTACGAAGGAGAGGTGTGGTTGCAGAGACAGCAGATGATGGGGCTGGGGGGTGGGGGGAGGGATGGAGTTCTAGAAGTAGCAGGAGAATATCCATGTCACTTGTAAGGCCTCACTCTGCCTGCCAGAGCCACGTGGAGCAAGTGTCCTTCTCCCCACTCTATCCCACAGAGTTCTGAGCACCTTGATCAGGCCTCACCTGAAGCTTCCCTTTCCCCAAACAGTTATGTCCACTCCCTAGTTGTTCTTCTCTATCCTCTCTGCCTGTGTCACTTCAAAGGGTGAGACTCCAAAGTTCAACACAGTCTTCTAGGTGGGTCTGACCCGGACAGAGAGAAGCAGGACTCTGTCACCTCCCTTGTTCTGGGCACTATACCTCTATTAACACCTCCCGGGGGCACCTTAGCTTTAAGACACCCGTAATTGTAACCAATATGAGCTCTAAATCCACCCCAACTTGCTTGACTCACCGGGTGACCCTGGGCTCCTGCTCCCCCTGTAACATCCCTGGGGCCTCCGGACGTGGGCTGCTCTCCTGCACACCTCCTCCCGCCCGCTGAGCTGGGCTCACCAAGAGACGATTGTGCCGGTTTCCGGGCTCGTCTATGCCCGTGGAACTTGTCAAAATAATTACGTCACATAATTTAATATTCCTTAAAATCATGAAATGCATATATGCAAAAGGAAAGAGTTGTTTTTGGTAAGAAGTCAGTTGACAGCTTTGAGAACACCCCATAGAGGCATTTGGCTTTAAAAATTGCCAGGAGGGGTGTCTGGGGGGCTCCGTCGGTTAAGCGTCCGATTTCCGCTCAGGTCACGATCTCGCGGTCCGTGACATCGAGCCCCACGTCGGGCTCTGTGCTAACAGCTCGGAGCCTGAAGTCTGTTTTGGATTCTGTGTGTCTCCCTCTCTCTCTCTCTCTCTCTCTCTCTCTCTCTGCCCCTCCCTTGCTTGTGCTCTGTCTCTCTCTCTCTCTCAAAAAATAAACATTAAAAAAAAGTAATAAAAAAATAATAGGTTAGAAAAAATTGCTATTAAATAAGGTGTCGAGGAGACGACCGTACGAGTGTGGGAGCGGCCGGGCAAACCGACCGTGCCGTCTGCAGCACAGGGGTCCCTGTGGTGGTTCTCGAAGCGTGTTCCCCACTGGCTGCTGGCTTCAGCCTGAAAAACTCTTAAAAATGCACATCTCCAACCTCCCGCCAGACCTGCCAAGTTAACGACTCAGGGTGGGCTCAGCGATCCGAGGATTCACAAGCCCCCTGCCCCCCCCCCCGGGGGTTCTGGTGCCCACTCGGGGCTGAGGGCTTCCTCTGCGGGGTAGCCCAGTCACGACAGGGGTCAACCGTACAGCAGGAGGCCCCTCAGGCCCCCCAGGAGCCGCCTGGCATCCAAAGAGTAGGCCCTGGCCTCACGTCCACGGCCGCGGGGAACGCGCACCTGCACCCACTGGCGGTAACCCCGGCTGTTGAAGGAATGTGCAGGGCGCGTCTTTGAGCCTCAGCGGAGCGTCGCCCGGCCTGTCTACTCGTGTCACAGAAAGTAAGGGACGCGTCTGAGCCCTCAGCGCGTCGCAGGCTCCGGACCCCGACACGGATTGTTTCCTCGAATCCCCGCGAGACCCCATGAGGGGAGCAGTCGGCAGCGCCCCCATTTTTCAGGTGGGGAAACTGAGGCACGGGGCCGTGAAAGGACTTGCCCGAGCTGGTGAGTGGTCTGGCTCAGCTCGGAGTGTGGGTGTGGCTGGGGCCCAGCCCCGGCC